ATTTATTAGAATTGATTTTTAATAAAATAACAGGATTCAAAAAGATTAGAATTTCAGCTTTCGAATTAAACCTATTGATACGGAAAGATACCGAAAGAATTTTTTGATAGTTAAAATAAAAAAAAAATTTAGCTTTGAATAGAAATTAATTGCCTCGAGAGAAAAATTTTAGAATGCCTTAGAATAATTCTTATCAAAACTGATTGAACAAAAAATCTGAAACTTTTGTTAGATATTTTTTAAAAACAATTTAGTTTGACTGAATAATCCATTGAATTTTTTTTTCAACAAATTTTAGAAAAATTGTTACTTCTTGAAAAAAATATATTTTAGGGAAAAAAAACTTTTTTTTTTAAACTAACGGATTGGAATTATTTGCTTCCAACTTTTTTAATACAAACACAATTTCTCTGTATAGCAGTCACATATTTTATTAATAATGGAAATTCACTGCGATTGAAATTTAGAGTGATAAAAGCATAATAATAGCCGCATATTTAACATCTTAAGAAACTAATACTTTTTAAGAATACTTTTGATAACTTTTCTGGAAATATCTTATAAATTTATTACGCAGAAAGTTACATAAAGTATATATATGTCTTACATAATAAAATGCAGAGTTTTTACTGCATTCAAAAACTGTTTTAATATATTTTTGAAAAAAAAACTTAGATTAGTATGGGAACAATTCTTTGCCAACTCTATATGTATTAATTTATACAAAAAAAATTCTTTACAAAGAAAATTTAACTGAAATATATCAACGGGTCACGCGTTTTTCTTTATATACACGTGCAATATTACCGCGTCTTTCCTCTCATATTCCAACCAATCTTTTTCCTCTTTCGCAGTCACTCCCTTTTTCCACCCATGAGATTATCTGCTGGTTGTTGGCAACTCGAATTTGAACATTTTCTCTCTCGCTTTTTGCTTAACTTTAATTTTCATTGAAAATTCAAAGGCGACAGAGTATTAAAATTTAGTATATTTGCTCTGACATTTGCCACATTTTAAACGCGTAAAAGCGTGAAATATATTAATAATATAATAATTGAAAGTAATATGTGACGCTCCACGAGAGAAGGGACCTATCTACGAAATAATATTATAGGCTTAGTTTTCATGTACGGTGCACGGAAAACTAAGCCTAATGTTATTTCGGAGATAGGTCCCTTCTCTCGTGGAGCGTCACATATATCTATTATTTTCAATTTATAAACTTAAATTGTTATTCAAATTTTAGAAGCGTGAGACTCGACAGGAGAAGAGACCTTATAGAAACAAATACAAATTTTAGGTTATGTTTGTAATTTTTGAATTGAAAGTACATAAAGTGGGTCAACATTTAATGTTTATGTTTTCATTGGATCCAAAATATTCAATAGAAACTGATTTTCATTTTACATAATTAAAAATGAACGTTTATCAAACTAAAACTATCACTAAACATAACCTAAAATTTTTTATATTTAAGGTCACTTTTATCGTAGAGCGGCATATATATAATTTTCATTTAAAAAAAATTATTCCTAATATAGTAACTGTGATTGTAGAATTATAGATGAATCTATAAAAAAAATCACATTTTTTCCATTTCGATGGAAATGAGAATGTTCGCGATTTTCTGTAAAATCTCTATTGTAATAAAAAAATTTTTTTATACGATTGGAAGCTTGAATAATTAATCTGCGGACTGCATATTATATGTTGAAGAGAACAAAATATCTAAAAAAAACAAACTATAATATTAAACATTGAAATTTTGCAAATAGAAATTAAATAGTTCAAAATAAATTTTTCCTTTCCATATTAGTTTAAATTCATATGTTGAAAATTATTTTCTTTTTATTTTTGGAAGGATAAGAGTCTCTCTTTTTTCCATCCTTTTTAATAACAGCGTTTCGTATTGAATAATTTTGTCAGAATTTCTATTTTTATTTTCATTCGCCAAAAAAAAAAAAAACCAAAAAGTAATTCTCAACATTTGTCAGTATATAATTTATATTACATAGTTTATTTATTTTAGTTCATTTATATAATTATATTTAATTTTTTGAGATTTTTTCAAAAGTTGTTTCAGTATGAAAAAGTAACATATTTATAAAATTATTTGTAAAATTACTTTTTTTTTATAATTTTTTGTAAAACATTTTTTTAAAAATAGCGATTTTTTTACTATTTTCGCAGCAAAAGATGCCAGAAATGCGTAAAAATTTCATAATAGTTAAGAATTTACTTTGAAAGTATAGTAAAAATATATTTCATTTGAACATAATTTTTGTTTGATTCAAAGATATGTAGTATATTTTTCTATCCAGTTAAAATGATCACTCTATACGATACATGAAAAATAATTTTTTAGGTTAAAATTCGTATCAAAATCTTGTTGACAAATAAATATAAAATAATCAGTGAAACATCCGAATTGTGACACTTTGCAGGGAATGGTAGTTTTTTTTCGATACATGGCGGGGAACTAAAATGCTTGGTTTTCATTGTCTCCATTTGCCATTTGTCATAATTCTCGTCAACTACCGCACCCTGCTCTAGTGAAAATTTAGTGGCTTTATTGTTAAAATTAAAAGTTACTATAAAGTTACTAAATTTTTACTAGAGTAGGGTGCGGTAGTTGACGAGAATTATGACAAATGGCATGTGGGGACAATGGAATTGGAAACCAGAAAAGCAAGGTGAGGCATGTGTTAAAATTATAAACATATGACATATTTACATGCGACAATTCCAAACTAACCCTTAAGTTTAAATCAAACATATTATAATTTTCATTGAAACAAATAATATTTTTAAATAAAAATGATAAATATTTTCCATATATTAAAATAAAAATGACAAAATTGTTAAATTAAACAAAATCGTTCAAACAGATTTCTATATTTAAATAAAAAATTCTTTTTTCTAATTGTAAGTGTACATATTGTAAATAGGGCCCAAGGTACTGTAACTAGCGCCGATGCTTGATTTAAGTAGTAAGACTACCTCTTACGTCAGACAGAGAGGGTCACAATAGATGTGCGCATGGGGTATAGGCGAACAAAATCCCACTGAAGTAAAAATAACTATATTAATTAAAATCATATTGACTGTATTTTACTTATTTGCAAATATAATATCATTTATTCCCATAGAAATGTTTTATATTAAAAAAAAATTATATATCTTTGATATAATACAAATATTTTCAACAACACAAATATTTGCGTATTTGATGATGTTAATAATTGTATTTATTATTTAACAAACAAGTTTAAATTTGAGTTGATGCATTTCATTGCTGATATGAAAATCACGAGGGAGTGCTCAAAATATATATAATCATAAATACCTATAAAGTAATAGTATATATATATATATGTATATACAGTTCGGTAAATCCTAAATATTTAATTCCATATTGAGAAGTTTATATATGTACTATGTGCAGTGTGTATGTGTAATGAAATCCCATGGAAAGCAATATTTCATTCATGTGAAATTGGAGCAGAAAATTGTACAAACACTCAGGAAGGAATTGTGTGCTGATCACAAGGGGTTAAATCAAGACCAAATTATATAAGCGTATATATAACAGTTTTTGTATAAACTTTCTTAGATGAAAATTTCAATTCTTGTTTTTATGATAAGCCTATAAATTTCAATGAACAGAGTCCCCACTTGTGTAAACATTTCAACAAAAAAATCGATTTTTTTTGCATTTTTTTAATATATAAAATGATAAAAAAAAAATATGATCGTGAATTGCAGATTATATGGAAAAAAAAGTTTTATCATAATTTACAACTTTGATCGCGCGTTTTTCTTAAAAATCATATTTTTCATGTCGCGCTGAATAGAATTGTGAAAAATGTATATTGTATCAATAAAAGTTGTAAAAAAAAAAATACAGACATAATTCAATATTGATAAGTACCAAATTCTACAAAATTAATGTATATGGAATAGAGAAAAATTAACAAATAAAAAAAAAAGAATAAACTTGGATTCATTTTTGCTGGGTACGAGTTTGTTATCAAATTGAGTTAAACTTCACATTGTTCAAAATTATCCTGACATGAAGTTTAAATGCTTTGCATCTAGAGAAACTGTCAAGTTATAGAGGTTATGTTCTAAATTATAATATATACTTATATTGGTATTAGTGTAGAACTTTGTAATAAGTAAATTAAAGGAACCGAAATGACAGCATTTATTCAACTGTGTGTAATATCAAATTCAAAATCTGTATCTACAAAAATTCCTTAATAGTGAATTTTAGAAAAATTTAATTACTTTTCCCCCTCACGCGAATAGGATTTACCACAAAAAACTCATTTAAAACGTGTCACATTTTGGACGTTTCACTTTAGATTACATCTTGTAATTTACTTTCCGAACTCCGGTGACTGCATCTTAAGACCAACGCACAATAGATTCGCGAACGAGAAGCATAAGTTAGAAAAGAACACAAATATAAATATGTCCTTTTCTAACTCATGCTTCACTTTTGGAATCAACTTTCGCGAACCTATTGTGCATTGCGACATTTATCAGTTATGTATCGCCTGCAGCAAGAAGACTAGGCCTGCACTTTAATACATTATTTCCACAATTATTATTGAATCAATTGCATAATTATTTTCTAAGCGATGGTTTTACATCTCAAAATCAAAATTGTATTATTCAAAAATCAAAAATATAGTAAAATCAAAATTTAATTCATAAACTTTACAGTAACTGTATACTGTCCATGAAAATTGTACTTTGATACCAATTTTAGGTATATCGGAAAATGATTCCAGTTTCCGTAATATTTCTAAAAATTTTCCAGATAATTCGTATTTAATACCTTTTATGGGTATTTAATTATTGCAAGCCAAATTGATACCTTTAAAAAAGTATACTTATTCTTGTTTAAAGTTTGTTCGAATTAAAGGAATAAACCCTAAACTATTGAAGATTATGGAGTTGAATGAAAGATTTAAGAAATAAAATAGACTTACCATGTGGAGGTCTGGGAACGTAGAGATTGAGATAGAGGCAGTCTTCGCTTTGGTTGGCTAAGATGGGTGCAATTTTTTCGAGGTAGAGACGTCTGCTTCTGGGTAGTTTGGGGTCTGATTTTGGAGGTTTCTGAGGGCAGGCTGCGGGCATAGTGTCTGCAAGTTTAGTACCTCGCCAAGATGTTGGTGTAACAGGCGGCATATATCGTAAAGAGCCAAGAGGCGGAGTAGCGTAAGGCACGCCATAATAAATTTCGACTTCTGAAGTTCTAGCCGCGATTCCACGTAAAGTTCCATACCTTGTCCTAACGACTCTGGTACTATACTTTTGTCCACCAGAAAAGGCATCCGCTCTTCCTGGCCACCAATGTCCAAACAACAATCCAAGGAAGACGCAAACCAATGCCAACGATCTAAATTGATTTCTCTCTTTTCTCCACAATCTTTTATTCTCGCTAATTTCTCTTGTAAATTCATTCCTCGTAAAGGACGAAACCTGCTTCTCAATGACTTTCTCAGTAGTTGTGATTTGGCTCGCTCTTTTCTCAATTTTAAAATGAACCTCGACCTCTGACGAGGCTTTTCTCCACCGAGTAATTCTCTCTTCGTTTTCTCCTTTATTTTCAACTTCTTCAGCCAAGCGACCCTGATAACTGGAGTCGTCCTTCTCTGCGTCATCTGGGTCTTCGCGAGATCCATCATCTCTCTGTTTCCTGCCGTCGGTCGAACGCTTCTCCTTCTTTGAAGGTCGAGCGCTGCCCACTGTACTATCCAGGATTTGATTTTCTTTCGTAACGGATGCAGAGAGGATTTTCCTCCTTTTCCTCGAGGTTGCGGTGGAGGGCGTCCGCATCGCGTCACGCCTCCGCGGCCTGGCCCCTCCGGGCCCCGCATCTGTGGCGTCCTCCTGCCACTGGAAAACTTCCTTCCTGGCAACAGGACCCAATTCCGGGGCCCAGTTGACAATTCTCTCTTTCCTCGTTCTTTGAGGCTACCTCCTCCTTAACAGTTTCTGTTCGAAAACTTTGACGCGTCGTTGTCTCTACAGTACAACTACCTCTCAGTTCCATTCTCGAGTACCCTCCAGCACCTCCTCAACTCTTTAGCCACCGTCGACGTCGTTAAAGCCCTGATCGAGCTCGAGTTCTCACCACTGGATAATCTTGCGGGCGTCATCGGAGCACAAGCTCAAAAGGAAAGGGCTGATGCTCGGTCTTCGATCTTCGGTCTTCTTTCCAACGACCTGCTCTCTCTCTCACAGTCAATAATTCGAGGCACTTTTACAAAACTGCTGACGACGCTCCAATTCAAAGACAAGCAGCTTCAATCGTGGCTAGACTTTAAAGTTTCTCCTCCTTTTAACTTAAGAAATGACTCTATTTCTCTCCAACCCAAGTCTTTAATTCCACCTAACTCCCATCTTCAATTTTCTCTTCCTTCTGATGCAACCGTGTCCTGATTTCCATTTTTATCTTCTTGCCTGTAACAATCATTCGAATTCAATTAGATTTCACAAAACGATTATCACATTAATTAATTCATTTATATAAGCAAAAAATTTCTTCCCGAAATTGATTAAAACGAGAAATGAACATGACGGAGAAAAGTAATTTTTCATCTATTCTTAAATTGTCAAATGAAAATCAGCAACTTTATGTACTTGTACTTGACAACCATTCGATAGAGAAATTCTCGCCATTGAGACGAGTTGAAAACTTGAAAAGAGGATCAAAGCATCAACGGATTATAAAAGTTGGATCAATAACGATAATGAGGATAGAAGTATTATAGTAAATTTTTTTTAGCTTATAGAAGATATTTTTCTAAAATAATTTTTATAGTTTATTATTATTTTTAGAAATTTTTAAAATCTAATTAACCAGACCTATACTATATGTGGTATTTCATATTGTACAAAGGGCTGTGAAAATTATATTAACTTACTTTTGTTAAAGTAAACGGCAGTTTAAACTCAAGAGTGAAATGGTCAGAAAATCCACTCTATATTGGCGTGACATTCACGTTATGTTTTAAGTACCATATAGCGGTTAAAAAGAAAGCAGAAAAAACTATACACGGTGATTGCAATAAGTATCTTAAAATTGTAATCATTTTTAAAAAGTTTTGAACATCTTTAACCATCTTATGTCTTTAAAATGTAATGCATTTTAAGATATTTTTTTGATAACATTTAAGAAACATCTTAAAAATGACTATATTTTTTTTATAGCCTACTTTTTACAGTGATCTCTTATAAATTATATTCTCTCTAAACCCGAATTAGTGAAATTTATTTTAAGTAGAATTTACTGACATTTTTCACTGATTCTGATTTAGTTCAAATATACTGATTCAAATTAAGAGAGCGTACTTTATTTGAATCCGTGATAAGTGTACCATGAACTGGTGAATAATTGAAATTCCACTGATTTAGCAGTTAAAATTTACAATCACTTATTTAAATAAGTGAAAATACAGTGAAATTCTACGGAATCAAATTAAAGTATTAAAAAATTAATTGAATTTTTGGATGACTGGAATTTTTAAAGGAACTATAATAGAAAAAATTGATTGATGAACCTACATTAATTATGTTGTCTATTGGCAGATACGTTGAGGGCGTTTAGTTGAGGCACTATCACAATCTTTTTATATACTTAGTAGGATCACTGTCTCATCTCAAAAATTCGAGCACACACTTAAAAACCAACGATTTTAATTAAAAACAAGTTTAATTAGAATTTGTCACTTATATCACTGTCCTATCACTTCGAATGATAAAATAGCCAGTTCATCTCACGAGGAAGTTGACTTTAATTCACTGTATCCTTATACTCAGCAAGGAGGAAACTCAAGATTCTTAGCACCCTCACCCTATTCCTCTTCAATCGTGCATTCGCACGTACTTCCACTCGAGCCGGCGTGCCTAACAGCTCCTGTTCTCAATTCGATTTCAAACATATATACGAGAAATACAAGTCCTTGTGAAATGTTTCGTGTCTTATTTTCTTTCTATTATATTTTTATATATATTTATAAAGTTGTTATTATTTAGAAAAAGATTGAAAAAAAAAACCCTCCGCGACTTTAAAGCAACATCACGAGAATTGGTTGGCTAGTGTTACATTCCGCAAAATGAAAAAGATTTTGGCACGGTACCAACGATGGAGCTGCACCAGCAGCCCAGCAGAAGGGAGCTGCAAAGAATGACGTACTGTTCAATGAGTGTCCCGGGCTCTACTGGCGCTAGGGTCAGCTCCATGCCAGTGGTGGTGCCGACGTGGTTTGCTTCTGCTGCTGCTGATGCTGCCGGAGGATGGTCCGGCTCTCTAGAACATCGAGGCTAAAGAGCGCAGAAGCCTCATTTTCCAACTAGAGGCTGGTCGATAACACCACGGCAACCCCCGGGTCGTTCCGGCTTCCCTCTCCCCCATACACCCATTTTCAACCCCATCTCCTAAACTTACCATCTCTTTCTCGCACTTCACCCTTATTTCGTTCGCTCTCTTACTCCCGTGCAAAGTGTTATATATACCCTTGGTATCGGTACGCGGGAGACGCCCCCGTTGCGTCGCGCCGATCCACAACCCACACACTGTAGAAAACGTGCACGTGCAAACTGCACACGTCAATGTAAAGCCATCCTGCAACGAACTGAAACCTCTTCACGATCAGCTATCTCTCAAATCCGACGGTTTCAACAACTTATGGCTCAGCTTTTCAACGTAAAGATGTATCGCGCGCCTAAAGAAGACTGTAAATTAACAACTTTTTAAATCTTCAATAGATGTACATGTACTAAAAGAAAAATGTATAATCATTTCTCTTTAGGTAATTATATAGTAATTAGATGACAACAGTTTGTAATTACAGAAATTATTCCTCTAATAATTTGATACACTGAGAAAAATTTAGCTGAGATATTCAACTACTGTTGGATAGTTGAAGTAGTTAATACAACTTTTTAAATTCAGTTCGAGAACCTATTGTATACTAGGCAGAGTAGTTAAAAAGTAGTCAAATCTACTAGATTTTTTCAGTGTAAAAAAATTTAATTATATCTGTTAAATAAGAATCGTTGTGAAAAATTTTGCTAGGCTTTTTGATTACATTTCAGTTTCTTTTTTTGTTTGAATAGCAAACCTTTGAAATGGATTTGGGTTTTGCTGAATCACGACAAAAAAAGATTCACATGGTGGCTATAAAATTACATGCTGATTTCATATATTCCTTGATGGAACTTCAATAATACTAAATAATCTCTACCATATATTATGCAGGAAAAGAAAAATTGGAATTAGAAAATTTGTTTCAAATCTTATGAAAATCAAGCATTATGAAACAAAATTTGAAGTTTTATTCATGCCCTGCTTCTTCATGAATGAAGAGTTAGTAATGTACTATAATTTTTTCAAAAATTGAATTTTCAAAAATACGAATTATGAAAAGATAAAATTGTTAAAAATTCGAAATCGAATTTTCAAATTACCAAAAGATTGAATTTCTAAAAGTTCTAAAAATTCAAAATCAATATAGAAGTTTAAAATTTTTTTCACTAATAGATTTCTCTATGGCTAAGTGAAATATAGAAAGTACACTCACAAAGAAGTATGAATTTTAGCCAAATTTAAAATGATCTAATACTTAATTTCCCTAAATATAATTGTCACAATCTTCATATATCATAATTTCTATTTGAACTAATCTTTATTTGGACCCACAAAGAATCAGTAATAAAATTCCGTTACAGTTCAATGGGAAAATCGCTTCGAGTTTGACTTGCCCTTAAAATATAAAAGTAATAATCTTATACTTATTTCTGTTTGGCAACTTTCGTATCAGTAGTAAAAATTAGTTTTAATAGAACGAATTTTTAATTCCCTAGGATTCTGAGAAATTTGACCTTGAAAATTGAAAAATGCTGTTTTTAGGGTACTTTTCAGTTATATTTCTATTTCTAAAAAAAAAATTTAGAATTATGATTTGATAGAATCTTATTCTGTAGAATATTAATTTTACAGAATATTTATTTGTTCGAATATTAATGTTTTAGAAAATGCAAATGGTCAAAAATCAATTTGACAGAGTTTTTATTTAGACAAAAATTAATTTACCCGAAATTCAATTTTATCGAAAAGTTGTCTCGTTGTCTCACAAAAATTAAAATCCCTTTAAATTACAATTCTGCAAAATTAATATTCTACGAGACAACGTTTCGAGCAAATTAATTTTTGTCTAAATAAAACTTTTGTCAAATTAATTTTCGACCATTTGCTTTTTCTTAAACATTAATATTCGAACAAATAAATATTCTGCAAAATTAATATTCTACATAATAAGATTCTATCAAATCATAAAATTATAAAATAAATTTTTTTAGAGCTTATTTATGCGTCCCATATGGACTTGAAAGCTCATATTTTCTTTAAAATTTTCCAATTTTAATTTCAGATACATTTCATATTGTATCTGCCAATTTGAATTTTGAAAATACAATGTCAAATTCGTAATCAATGACCTTAAAAAAGTCCCGGGTAACGACTTTCAAGTGAATCCGGACAATTTTTAAAAATTCGTCCGCCATATTGAATTTTACAAAACTAACATCGGCCTCAAGCAGCCTCTTAAAAAATTATAATAATCCTTCAAAAATTGAAGTATGCAGAGAATTTTAAAGATTTATTTAGTCGAATTAATAAAATTAGGGTAAATAACAGTTCGAAAATATGAATTTGGAAACCCGTAAAACTGACACTAATAATTGTTTTTGGTATATTCATGCGTCTTGTGAAATTTGTTAAAGACTAAAAATTGCTTTCATAAGTTAAACTAATTGTACTTGTTCTTGAATAGTTATTATAAAAAAAAACATCTAACGCAGTGTCTATAATTTCTATAAAGTATCGAAAAAAAATATACAAGTTTTTTGTATTTTTCCCATGAAATTAATCTTGGAAATGGATCGCAATATATATATTGCTGCTGATATTCCATCCAGGAGTTTTTCAAATGGCTGATATTATTTAAGCAAATACAGTCGCTACGATTTAAAGAAAACATTTCTTTGATATGTTGAATTTAAGGAAATATTTATATGCGATATCTGTGAGTTAAATCTGAATTGGTTAAATGAAAAACCTTATATATCAAAATTTTTCTTTAGTAAATATTTTCCTAAAATACAAATATTTTAGAATAGCAATTACTTCTATATATGTACATACTGACCAGAATATTTTGCCAGTTTAAATAAAAAATTGTGTTTAAATCGAGCTACTTTTTTCATCGATATCTCAATAAATAATAAAGCCAAAGAAAAAATTTATATGAATTTATAAATTCTGCGTTAAATATATAATATAGAAGTAGATTTAAAGTTTACGAAAAGAGAGATAAAATTTTTTGATTTTTGTAAACTTTTATTATATCAAACTTCAAGTTTTTGCATATACTCTAAATAAAGTTATGAAAGAAATTAAAATTCAAAAATAATAAAATTTGTATTTTTTTTTCTTTAAAAATAGAGAAACTTAAAAATTATTTAATCGTTCCCATGATGTAGTTAAATTTATAAACTTCTGCAGGTTGCATAAATTATGACTTTAAAAATTTAGTCATATCTTGGGAACGACTAAATATATATTTTACGATTCTTTGTCTGTTTTTAAAGAACAAATTCCAAGATTTATTATTATTAAATTTCTATTCTTTTACTAACCTTATTTATAGAGCATACAATAAGAACTGGCCATTAAATGTTATTTTACGGGGAATTTAATAAGCTGTTCATTAATTTTTCTTTAGAAATCTTTCTGGTTTCATTATAAGTATTTGTTAAATTTTTTTTTATAACTACAATATCAAGTTTCGACATAAAAAAAAATTTCTCATTTTTGTCATTTTGATGAAAAATATATATTTTTTAAAAAAATTAATAGACTTTTATCAATGTAAGCATATAGTATGTCCGAAATTGAAACGCATTCTGTTTATTATTTCATTTTCATTAGTTTAAGTGTTGCCGCCAAGTCACATTAAACTTGTTAAAAAATACGAGAGCAACTGTTTCATAGGTATACACGAGACCATATACAACCACAATCCGCAGATCCGGAAGATATATGTGGTTGACTAAAAACGCAATCTCGTGTGAAGTCGACAAGCCATTTGCACTCTCAAACTCGAAAAGGTCATAATTTATTTTCTTAATCAGACATGTTGATTCAGAAATTTCTGACAAATCGTATATATTTTATTAATCAATATTTTTGTAAAAGAATTTAGAAAAATAAAATAAGTATCAAATACTGATGAAATTATTAATTAACAGAGAAGAATTAAACAGAAATTAATCAAATTTAAGCATACATACTGTTAGACGGACAAAAATTAATGACTTAACTTGAAATAAATTTGTTCTTAAATGCAGAGAAATAGAAATTGCATTATAATTAGAAATTCTGCAATAAGTTGTGTTTAATTTTGTAAAACTTTATAAAAAATAACTTCCATTTCACAATTTTTTATTTGTGAAAAAAAACACATTTCACATGTGTTGTGTATATCTGATGCCTGACTGTCTCCTACATACTTAATCTTAATGATACCTAGGGAATTTTGGGGAATTTTAAGTTCTTTCTTCTGACGTTTGAAAGCAGGAGTGGGTTAATGTAACAAACTCAAGGTTTTCTACGTATGTTACATGGTAAAATACGTAACATACGTAGAAAATGTATTTTATCTTGTTTTTCTAAATTTTTACGTATGTTACATAATAACATAACTTAACAGACCCATGTAACATACAATAAGTATATTACCTACCCATCCCTGTTTGATAGTTTATAACAGCTTATTTGGTAGTTTTCTACGTTGACTTTATAAATTCTGCTCACATACAAGTTTAACAAGTTGTAAATTCAGATGTTCATTACATGAACATTTTGCTTCCTCTTTACGATCAGCAAAAAAATTTGCTTCCTCGTGGAGAAAGCAAAATTTTATTGACAAAATGTGAATTTTTGATTTTTTAACTTTTATTAATTCTTTAAATTTACCTCAAATGTATACTTTATATATATCGATCGATTCGTCTTGACGTAAGGAATACGATTTTATTATATATAACCTTAAATTTTTCTATTTAAAAATTTTTTCGATTAAAAAAAATTTTTTGGAAAAAAGACGATAAAATTTTTTTTTTTGGTATTTTTTAAAATCCTTTGGTCAGATTTGAGATATTAATATGATAAATGAGCCTACCAAATTTT